TCGGGTTAAAGCTTGAACTGACCCGACCCGAACCCGACCCGAAATCAACCCGAAAATATATATGTGAATAAAAAAAAAAGTGTTATGTGGATATATGAAATAGAGATGGCAAAAGTTTTTTATTACGTAATTAAAAATAGATGATAAATTAAAAAAACAGGTGATCATTATTTGATCCAGTATTCGGACTTTAATCATCACATGTTTTAAATAGGTGAAAAAGTGTTTTAAACCATCCCTAATATGAAAAAAAAAAGAGAGAAACGAACCGGTGGATAAAAAAAAAAACAACCCCGATCCTTAATAAATTAACCAATAACGCCATTGTTGTCCTTGAAAACGGCGAGTCAGTCGTTCAATCTTCAAGTCTTCCGTGTAACGTACTAAGATAACTTATCGAAAGATGGCGTAGTGATTCGGTAAAGGGAATTCCAAGGCTTCGGTTATCGTTGGTGTCACGTTACTTCTTTACTCTTTATTACATAGTAACGTTATACACACTGAGTAGTTTATTACTTTAGCGAAGACGGGTTTGGAATTATTTAGCAGATTTATGTGAAAGGAGGTTTTGACAATTTATTTATGAGCAGAAGTTGTTTATCAGCTAAGTGATTATTTTTATTGAAGGGCCAAAGTGCCCGTTTATATAGTTATTTGAACAATGGGTTTGCCGATAAGTCTTTTAATGCTTATCTCTCTTAAAAGACTTATCGCTCTTTTAATACATAAAATGATTATAACTATTTCAAATTAATAAATCTCTTAAAATGTTTATAAGAGAGATCGCGCTTTAATCACTTTAAAGCATTAAAAGCGATTAAAGCATTATCGCTCTTTAAAGCATGGGATCCCTAAAATTGGCAGGGATCTACTTAGCCGTTGTAGCTATGGGTTTGTTACACCAGTGTTCGGGTACGAATATTCGAATCAAGTCAATCAATATAAATCCAACAATCAACCCTAAGTGGAAGGCTGAAAGAGGTCGTGGAGGATTTGGTCCGGGTTTAGGATTGTTTGGAGGATTATTCTGGGTTATGGAGGTAGGTATTTTCAGGTCCCTGGTTCTTGATTCCAGTTGTTTCCGTTGTGAATATTCGATTCTTTCTTTTTCCTTATAAAGATGATTTCTATCACGTGGCACGTGATCTAGTTTATTCTCTTGATTGGGTCGATAGTTTAACAATGATGCGGAGCTTATCAATAGAACTATCTAAGGGACGATTGATTATTGTTTAATTTGATCGGGATTTGATTATCACGGGGCGTGATTATCAATAACACTATTCTAATTAACAATGAGAAACAATGCCAAACTTCTACTCGAATTTCGAAGTATTGGTTCTCAACACTGAACTTTATGAGAGTCTTCGTTTGAACTCCGAAAGTTATTTTTTATTGAGGCAGCTTGCGCTGCTTATATAGATAAAATTTACATATAAATATTCGAAGGATATAAAAGATAAGTACTATCTAATTTCTACAGTTTCGCTATTATCTAGGAAATAATACTAATAACGATTATCCTTTCGATTTTGTAGATCGATACTAAAACAAAAATAATAAAAATAACGATAGCATGGAAAACAAGAATAAGAAATCGTGCATGGTACTACGTCGGAGGGTAGTACTTCCGGAACCCAATTTTCCCATGTGACACCATCATTAAACACATCACTATCGGTATTAATCACTTTATCGATCCCATTAAATTAATCACCCGATACTTCTGATTAAAATCCATAACCCCACGTGACCATAACCTATATAAATTGATCAGATTCTTTAAAATTCGCTTATAAAATCTATCCAAGTTAACTATTGGAGTTAAACCGGCATTTATTTGTATAACGCTCCCAAAACAATAGTAACACTAGTATCACAAATTCTCGATTTTCTTATTTCTAAATTTGTAAATAATTTTTTTTTTTTACATTTTTTATTATTACCATTTTTAGTATAATTAATTTAATAATAGACAAATGTTGGATAAACTCGATTCATAACCAAATTGTATAATGTCACATGAGAGAAATGGGTTCCGAGCTTTCTTTTCGGGACCATATAGCTTAGCCGCAGTCCAATTTTACGGCTAAGTCGATCCTTGACTTTTTTAGGGATCCCGCGCTTATAGGAGCAATCGATCTTATAGCTCCTATAAGACTTATAAGAGCGATAGGAGTTATAACTCTTAAAAGTATTAAAAGTCTTATAAGTATTAAAAGTATTAAAAGTCCTATAAGTATTAAAAGAGCGATACGTCTTATATGTCTTTTAGGAGTTATAGGAGCTAAAAGACATAAGACTTATACGCAATCCTATTGTTGCAAAGTCGGGAAGATTGAAGAAGAGGTACCCCAATGACATTCGGCCTAAGTTAGGGTTATGGTTAGGCCTAGTGTTCCGATCGGGTCGGGTCAACCCGAAAAAAAACCCGACCCGAAAGTTCGGGTCGGGTTCGGGTCAAGAAAAA